AAATTATCACATTTGATCAACTTGCATTAAGAGCACCTCGTGGACAAAACACAATCTTGCTTCAAGGCTAGTCATGAAAGGGCCTGAACTATCAATTCATAATTCTCTGTCAATATTAATTAGGTCCAAGGAAAGCCCGTGAAGCTGTCAAGCATTTTGGTACACCTGGCGTTCCATTTAGTCATTCCAAGCCGTACGTGAGATCCAAGGGAAGGAAGTTTGAGAAAGCTCGTGGAAGGAGAAAGAACCACTCCTATCATAAGTGATCACATGACTAGAATTATGTTGCATGTGTCATCACACTATTGTCTGATTTTTGATTATTATAATTATAATTCAAGAGATAATGATTGATTCTGATAGTATGAAAAATACTTTAAAGTTTTTTCATTCCCTTCCCATCAGACTGAATATTAAATTCTTTTATGTAATGTTACAAAAGTAATGCATGATTTTGTGTGTGAGCTGTCTTTAATGTTAGTGCTTTCTTTCTCTGAGGACAAGGGATGATTGTAGATTCCTCACTAGTGCTAATCTTAGTAATGATATCTTGTTGATACTGAACTCATCCTTTAAAAGAAAATGAATATTTTACATTAGTACTTGACTGTACAGCAGTGAAATATGTAATGTAAGATCTTAAATGGTTTAATTACTTGTGATGTTATCATGTCTTTTTGATCAGAGTATGAAGAGGTGTTGTCAATCTCTTGTAGTATGTGAAGTAATTCATATGTATCAGCTGAACTGAATACACACTATAATGACAATGGAAAGGATAGGGAATACAGTTAATAGATGAACTGACCTTGTCAGGTATTTGGAGTAATGGAATAGAATCAGTCAATAGTGTCAACCAATATCTAGAAAAGAGAAATAGAGATCACTTGTGAAGTGATACTGATACTTTTTAAGTGTGATTCCTGATGTTAGAAGGCTGACTAGTAATTGTCCAGCTGCCTCGTAATTACCAAAAGAATATTGTTTGTGAAAATCTCTATACTTACCTAGTAAAGAGGTTAATATTAGTAAAAATAATTATGATAATAGGTTGCTTGTACTTAAGAAGGCAAGCCTGTTGCTGAGGAGGACAGCATCACCAAGATAATCAAGAATACTGAGGTCACCAAATTCACCAATACTTTCATAAAAATCAAAATACCTACAGAGACACAAAGTAAAGGATTCTCTGGCAGTCCTTTCCTCTCCTTACTTCTCAGCTAGGAAGGCAGCAAAGGTAGCATCCTGTCCTTTAATGCACCAGGTGAGAGCTGATCCCATCCTACCATCACCATAGCACCTCCTGGCCAGTACACGGCAGATACTCTGGGCTATAGTATAAAATACATGCATGATAAGCATTGCTCATGTGAGCTGTAATGCAGGGTTCCCCACAGGATTTTGACATAGTGCTCATGCAGGTTCTTGTCAGTAGATTTGAAAGTTGCTCAAAATTTGTGCAAAAGTCCCTGTACTATAGCACAGGGACATTGGTCAAATTTCGCCATAAATGGCTAGGAGAGAATTCTTCATTTTTATGATTTTTTTCTGATACATATACATGTACTCATGTTGCGTACCAAGTTTGAGCTGATTCCAATCAAAATTGAATTTTTAAAGAATTTTTAAAGTTGCCCCAAAGCCATGTACATGTACTATTTTTAGCTGGCTTAGCATGCTTTATGGGAAACCCTGCCATCAAGTGATCTAACCTTCTTCTGTCATTTCGTAGCGTTGACAGAGTCTTATCAGTTTAAGAGCTTTCGTTGAGGTGGTCAGTGGAACTCTCTCAACCAGCGAACACATGAAATGTCTTTAATAAAAATAAAATTAATATTCTGACGATCGTTAATAAGCATATGTACCTTCCTTGTGTTGGGCAATAGCTTAAATAACTAATAGCAACTTCCCACAAACTATAACAATTAAAAGAAAAATACAGTGAATTAATAGAGTTTAGCATTTTAGGAAAATTTCCATAAATACTGTTCCTTTGCAAAAAAATCGAATTCTTACCTTGGATGTACAAAAAGTGCCGTTGCATATTCTA